GTAGGTTTGTCTCCCTGTGGGCCTCTGTGGTGACAAAGTTCTCTGGTCTTCATCCCTTTGCTGATCTTAATTACTTAATTGGAGTGCGTACTTAGTAGGCTGAGCCATTATTTCCCTGATGGGGTGGAGCTGCCCCCCCACGAGTCTGAGAGCTCAGGTGCCCCCGTTCACAGAGCGCTGGGTGCTGTGCGTGAGTGTGTCGCCCCGACAGCCCCCGAGCCTGTGCCTCGAAGCAGGAAACTGACCCCCCCACTCTTTTCCCGCCTCTCCCCCTCCTGCTCAGTGCTGCAGGAAGCAGTCAGCACCCGCGACCCGGAGCTGGTGAGGCTGGTCCTGCGTTACCGGGACTACCAGCGGACCGTGAAACGGCTGGCGGGCATCCCCCTGCTGCTGGAGAAGCTGCGACAGGTGACCTCTGACCCCTGAGCGTACCGAGGGGAGCCGGGGCTGCAGCACATAGACACGCAGAGAGAGGAGCAGCGCTTGGGGCAAGAGGGGAGAAACTGTGAGCAGAGGCTGGAGCTGAGCATTGCTAACAAAGAGAACATGCTGAGCAGAAGCAAAAGAATCTCTCTGCTGTTTTTCCCTCCATCTTACTCACTTCTCAATTCAATTCCAGGTCGTGTATTGGCACGACCGATGAGTACAATCAGTGTTGCCAAAGCAAATAAAAATAAAATTAACATGAAACAAAACAAAACTAAATTAAATTAAATCTACATTTACAACAAAGCCATATCATAAAATATTTACTTATACTGCATAAATATGGAGCATTGTTGACAGACAGGCTCACTGTTCCTCAGGCTGTGACAGGAGATCACACACTGGGCTGCCAGTTCAGCTGAGTTCCCTCCTCCCTCTCCCAGTAGGATTGGGAGCTGTTGTGATTCTGGCAGGTGTGGGAACTCTGGGATGAGATTTCTGACTTTAGGGAAGAATGTTTCTCTAATCCCAGAGTATCTGTCACAGTGCATTTCTCCATCTCTCTGCGAGAGGTTCTACCCTCAGCAGGTTCACTGCTCTGCTCCCTCCACACCTCTGATGTCTGCCCACCTCTCTCGATCTCTGCCACCAACCTGAGTTCTGGTCTTCCGTCTTTCCCCTTCTGTGACCAGTGCTCTCTCTTCCCCAGGCACAGGATTTCTATGTGGAGATGAAGTGGGAGTTTACAAGCTGGGGTGAGTGGTGGTCCTCTCTGAGCCCGAATGTGGGGCAGACAGACCGGCAGGCCTCACCCGATACTGTGCATGCAGTGACACCTGCTGGACACCTGCTGCAACTGATACGCTGGCAGGAGAAAGAGCAGTAGTGGGAGTTGGGATTCACTTTGCATGCTAGAGTTCTCATGGAATAGTCAGATATCGTTCAGGTCTGAGTTTGTTTGAAGGCAGCACAGCTGTGTGGATATACTGATTAAGAATATATTTTCTCAGTTTATCTACAGAGCCCTTCTGTACTAGAATAAGCAGACCTCTCCCACATAGCTTTCAGAGGACACATGGCACTCCACATAAGTATCAATCTCTTGCATGAGCATATACTTCAGGCACTGCATGAGGCATAAGACAGAGACTCTGCTGTGTTGGAGTCTGCTCCGTTTTGTGCTGGGCTTTGTGTCTCCCACAGGCTGCTCATTGTAATCTGGTGGGGTAGGTCCCTCTAGATGTGTTAGTGTCTTGTTTCTGTCTCCCTGCCCCACTGCCCCAGTGCCCCTGGTGTCACGGATCTGCCCCAGCGACACGTACCGCGTGTGGAAGAGAGGGCAGAGCCTGCGGGTCGACACCACCCTGCTCGGCTTCGATCACATGACCTGGCAGCGCGGTAGTCGCAGCTTCATCTTCCGAGGTCAAGGTGAGACCCGCTCCTCCTCCTCCTCCTCCTCCTCCCTGCGCTCCTGCCTCGCCCCCGAGCTCCTTCCACTCGAACCTCTCTCCCGTTCTTCAGAGCCACTCCTGTTCTAGACCTGCGATGACCTCAGTCTCCCAGCAGCCGATCACTCTCAATTCAATTCAGGTGCTTTATTGGCATGACTGATGAGTACAACCAGTGTTGCCAAACCAAAACGAATACAATTAACATAAAACAAAATATCTAGACATTTACAATAAAGACACAATCATAAAATATCTACATATAGACGTATGGAGCATGATTGACAGACGGGCTCACTGTTCCTCAGGCTGTGACAGGAGATCACATACTGGGCTGCCAGTTCAACTGAGTTCCCTCCTCTTTCTCCCAGTAGGATTGGGAGCTGTTGTGATTCTGGCAGG